TGATAAGATGTGGAACAAAGTTTATGGTGCGGGTATGTCGATGATTATTAATAACGTCTTTCTGTAGACTTTTTTTATGTCGTATCCCACTCTCTGCTGACATTGATGTGAAAACGCCACGAATTAAGCTTCTAAAACAGCGTGAAATAGGCTTTTCATTCATTTTTGTGTACAGCACCAATGTTTGCCAAATTGACAAGAGTGAGATAGGAAATAAAAGCAAAAGGAACCTTCAAAATCGATAGTATCAATCTCCATTTTCATTATCTTTCGTAAAGCGAGTATATTCCAGAATGGTAATGTACCCGTTGCACAAATCTCATATCCTATGATAGGGTCAAGATAAAAGGTATCTGCTCCGCTTGTTCACAATGCAATTATTGCTTACTTTGCAACATAAATATCTGTCATGATGAAAAAGAAAAAGCAATAATATAGAATGCTCAGTGGCTAGTCTAACCAATTACCCACTATTATTTAAGAGTGATAGTTTATTTCGCTACTTTTTCTCATTGTTGAATCGTCTTTCAAAGACCCTGACAGGGAACTCTTTGCCGTATTTCTCAATATATTAATTTTTATATTCCACTTGAAAGAATAGCCTTATTCTTTTAGTGACGATCGATTTTGGATCACTTTATGTTCTTATGAAATGTTTATCGACGCATTATCTTAAAAATAAGGAAAGATCTCGTTCGATCGAGGCTATTGCCTCCCTGTAGAGAGAGGGTATTGGGTCAATGTCTTTCACATCCCTAATTTGGGCGGGTATTGCTTCCCTGACAGAAAACTCATTGTTCATGTAGGAGTTTCACTCAGCCGCAATGCTGATGCCGAAAGAGATCCTGGTGGGGCGAAAACAAAAATCATACGTGGTAAATTTAAAGTACCGTCTAAGATGAAATAGATTTTCTCCGTGTCACAACTGAACCTTTTCCTTGAACTACATTGTATGATTCAGTTAAACCCACCACAAATTATTTCTCTGCTAGGGCTGCTGAGGCAAGTTATTCAGGATCTTCAGCAGATGCACCTCTTTGCAAGCAAGGTCAACAGCAACACTCACTTGACTGAAGAGTTAACGCAGATTGCTTTAGATAAGGGTTTCAGAATTTCTGACAATCAAGGATCAGGAAACTGCATGTTTCATGCCTTGTTAGAACAACTAGAGACGGTCAAAGGAATCAAAATGCAACATGGCCATTTGAGACAATCTTTGGTTCAGTACCTCAGGGAAAACCCAAAGCTGGTGAGTTACTGTAAACCTTAAAAGAAAGAGAACTAGTAGTGGATTAGTGGTTTTTTCGTTTGTGTTTAATTCTCCCCTTACATCTTCGAGTATTGTTTTAGGTTGGCCTGAAAAGTTTTTTCTGTGTTCGCATATTCTCATGGGTAGAGATAGGTACGTGAGCAGTGAGTTTTTTTCTCCTAGAGCTGAATCGTTACAATCACCGCA